TTTTTGTTGTTGAGGTTTTTATGGGACTAGGTTGTTTATTGTAAAGTGCGCAGAAAGGATAGGGGTACAAGAGAGGGGGAGAGACTTGCGGCAAAGGACCACAGGCCAGATTTTATCCCAGGTCCGCCATATCAAGGACTAAGGCCTGTACATGGAGACACCCAAGACGTTTGATACATAGTTCTAAATGTTTTTTGATCATTCAAGTTGACATTTAATTATTTAATTGTGCAATTTCTAGTTTAATTACATATTTGAAACATGCACTTTACAAACACATAAAAAAATGTTACATCGTATATTGTTATACATTCATTTATTTTTTCATGATGTATTTTGGCGCTCCATACACCTCAGGGATCACATAATGATTGTGAAAACCATCTCATGACCCCCACTTTGAGTCTCGCGACCCCACATTGGGTCCCGACCCCCACTTTGGGAACCAATGGTCTAAAATGAGAGTGGGCTAAAATGATAAAAACATACGCCAAAGAAATTTGTTTGTAACTGCAGCTGATGAGGCTCTACTAGGCATTGCATTAGAGGGGCTGATTACAAATGCATGCCACACTTTTCAGATTTTGCTTTTTAACTGATTTTTTTAAAGCATGAATATTTTTCCTTCCATTATGTATATATTAACCACTTTGTGATTATTCTTCAAATCAGATCCAGATATAAAACAATAACATTTGTATTACAAAGATAACGAAAGGGTATCAAACCTGCTTGTTGATCAGTGGTACAAAATACTTTTGAATGATTGTTGTGCTCTAAGACATTATTTGGCATCTACCGCCACTGTCACACATCCTCAGTTTTAGCTTTCAGGCTGCACAGGAAGCCCGACCTAAACTACGGTGGACCGACTGCATTACAAGAAGTCAATGACTGGCACTTTCTAAAAGAACAAAGATGAAGGGACTCCTACAAAGCTTTGCTGGGAAACCCAACACTGTCCTACTATATATAGCCGGTCTTTTCACACTGTGTGCATGACTGCTTGTGTTAAGTCACATGATTCAAGATATATGGGTGGATAGACATGCTCACACACACACACACACACACAGGCCGATGGCGTGGAGGAGGTGAGGGAATGCGGTGAGGTTTATTGAGTTGAGTGTGACGTTTTTCTTCCCGTGACCGGACTCTCATTTGCTCTGTCTCCCCAAGCGTCTCGGCCTCTGTCTCAGCCTGAACCACATGCTAATCAGCTCTCTGCGCTGTCCGTTTGATCTCCAACAGGCAGTTTGCTGTTGCATCCTACTGAGTAGATAATCACTCTAAATCAAACCAACTGTCATTTGCCCCGTTAAACGAAAGAAAACAAACACTCAAAATGTATTTTCTTTTTCATTTTCCACACAAACAGCAAATACGTAGTAGGCTAAATGTTCAATACAAATACTTTGATTGGGTAAAACACAGAACTATCGGCACAATCAGCATGAGAGGAGATTAAGGAATTAATTAGTGACCAAGTAAAGTGAACATATGACCTAATAGTTAGGGAGTAACTATATTTCAAACAAACCATAAAAGAGAGAGACTGTTGCCTCTGTAATGTGGTTTCACGGTTTTCACAGCTTCTAATATCTGGTGGACTGCAGGGGTTTCCCAAAAAGCGAACCCACACTAGAGATTGTATCAGAGCTTGAGGAAGTTTGCCACGTAATGTTGTCTAATGTCATTACACACTATTAAAGCATAAACATTCATTCCTTGAATGATTACAAGCGGCACATTTAAATCTTAAAACTGATTCTCTTTAAAGACAGGAAGTAAGGTAGAGGAAGGATGGAGTAAAAGGCTTCAAATCGAGGGCCAGATGTATTGAGACTCTGTTTGCCTCTATTATTTATTTCCCCATTTACTTATTTATATCCTTAATTATAAAAGCATACTAAACTATGTCGTATAAAATGTTAAAAATGACTTTTCTGTGAGAACAGATGCGTACATTACATCTTTTCTGTTTTATTGCTTAGATGACATCATCACCGGACATGCTCAGTGCAGAGCAGCGAAACATGATTGCACCATATGTATTATACTTACATTTTTCTTCCAATTACACTCTATTAACTATACAACTACTATGAAATGCAAACAAAAACTAAAAAGGACAACAATAATATACAGATATAAAGTTGAAAAAAAAGAGGTAGGGTGGGGATCTTATTTCTGGAACAGATCCGGTGAATTAATAGAAAGGGATTAAACATATTTATTCTCATGGCAAAGTCACTTGACATTTTAAACATTGTAGTTTAGTGCATTTTTTATCAATCAATGGTGAGCCGGATGTATTCTGGTTGCGCTTGCATTAAATAGGGCTTGGCAATATCACCAAGCCCTTACCCTGGTTTTTACTGGTACTATGCTGATAATTATAAAATTGGAAATAGAAACTCTCTTCATTAATTATTGAATTATATAAGTCTTATGTAACTATATAGCGGTGACTGCATGCCACGGCCATTAGAGCCCCACAATCAAAGACACTGCTCTTGGAAAAACATACAAATTTTAAATAATCTTCTTCTGGAAACCATAGAGAAGTCTGTTTTTTATCACTAAACCTCCCATAGTAACCACAGTTAATCATATTCTTCGAATTTTCCAATTCCCCAATTGAAAAAAAAAGAATGATCTAGATCACAGGTCTTCAACAGGGGGTCCATGACCCCTATGGGGTCCATGGAAGTTCTGATTGGGGGTCACAAAAGTTTTTGTTGCTTAGACTAATTGAAATGTCTTTAAATCCACATTAACATGAATTCAACACACTGTAGTAAACAGATAAATGGAGGCAGAAGATGTCTTTCAGTCATCAATGCACACATTCAGCGACACACAGGAGCTCTTTCAAGCTGGGCCCTCTACTGGCTGACGCCTCGAGCAGCAGCTCAGTTTTCTTGGGCTGGATCTAACAGCAGCCTCTTTAAGCCGATGTAAATACCAGATCTCCTCGGGTCATCATATCTGCTCGGGTCTGGTGCATGCCAGTGACGTTTCGCTAAATGATTGGCTGAACGTTGCCACATGATGTAAAACATAGTGGTTGCCCAGACAACCATAATAACATCACGCAGCGTCCGTTAGCATGTCAAATCACCGATGAAGTTTTACCTGATCGATAAAAAAAAAAATTTATGTTTATAGTGAACATAGAAAGAACAAAGCTAACAGGTTAGCCCCTCTTAGCTCGGTCAATTAGCCATATTAGGCTAAACTACTTTTGAATTTATATCAACAACAACCGTTCGTTTTCTAGAAGTAGAATAACTGTTGTTTCCTTTTATAAAACCTCTATGAAAGTCATTTGTTAGGATATTCCATTTGTCCCTCCCTGCCCTCATATCTTAATAAAAAGAATAAAAATAAACTGAGACTTTTTGTGTCACCTTGTTAAATGGCAGAGCTAAGTCTGTCTTAGAAGACAGTACTTTCCTTCAAGACGGACAATGATTGTTTTATTTTATTTTCAGCTACTTAAATTGCTGATGAAATGTAAAATAATAGTAAATGTAGGTAATAATATGTCCAAACTCCAAAACGGGTGCAATATAGTTTGTCCGAGTGGAGTTGCCATATAATGACGTCATAAGAAGGAGCAGGGCCCCGAGCAGATCCGGTACCTACACCGGCCATACACTGTGCATAATTTCAATAGTTCACGCAGGTACAGCTCAAACTGTACGACAAAACCACAGGGTTTAAAAGTTCATGGCTGACGATGCATGTTCTCACACTGTGTGACCCAACGCCGACGGCCGACTGAATTTCAAACATCCCGACCTAACGATTCCTGATTGAGAGGTGGTCGTGAGAAGCTAAACACCTATTGCTACCCCCTGTATACTACACAAACTCAAACTGAAACTCAGCCCAATCAAAAAATTCAGTCTGAAAAGGGCAAAAAACCATACAGTGTTTGCACGGCTTTACACAAAGGTGTGCCAATAGCCCTGCAAGCCTTAACACTTACAGTCAGACTTCCTCTCAGTGAAAGAAAGCTCAACCCTTAGATCTTAAACTAGTATTCATTCAAAAAAGCTGCCTTTTCTTCCTGACTCTTCTCTAAATAGCCCATAAAAACTGGTAATCTCTTTGTAAATACTGATGCTAAAGATGCTAACTGACTGCTATTAGATGTTTTTGCTAACCACACACAAAAAGAGGATTAAACACATGAGATCTCAACATGAAGGACAAGTTTGTTCTTCTTATTAAACTGTCTTCACACACCATTAAAATGAAGGTTACACTTCCCTGCTCTACTGCAACAAAGTACAGCATTGTAGCTAGCATTAGCATGCTAATGTCTAATAATTTACCATCATGATGGCTTAGCTTGCTAACATGTGTTCAATGGCTCAAAAATTAAGGGAAAGTTGGCATCGTAAGCATAACCGAATAAAAAATATTTTATAATTAGATAGATAAATGTCTTTTTGCTGGTGATAAATGTAACCACAATGTAAAGTGTGTTTGAAAAGTTAAAGGTGTAACAAAGCTGGCACAAAGATATATTTTTCCTCAAGAAGTTAGAGTCGATCAAAGGGGCTTAACAAGCCTGATCTCTATACATCTTCATTAAATACATTTAGTAGGCAACTTTAAACCATAAACCATAAAAACATCTCCTTTCACATTTAGTGTTCGGTGGGTTGAAATAAGAGATAGTGAGAAATAATACATGAACTTTGCTTAAATTCTATTTAAGCTGAAAAGCAGCTTATTTGTTTTGGATTAAGTTATACAGTTAAAAAATTAATCAACAAAAAGGGTTTGTTGTCCAGAAGCTGCTTAGTGGTTTCGCTCTAACACTTGGACAGGTTCTTGAGTAATATATTAAAGCCTAAAGGGCTCACGATGAGCAGGTCAGTGCTTGTCAGTGAACGTGTGCAAGGGAGCGTTCCTGGGTGATAGTGAGGATATGTAATTAAATTGTCTAAAATCCCTTTAAGGATAAAAGTACAAACAGTCTGTTTTATTGTGAATTCAGTAGTTTTATTTGATCCTCAAAAAATATCAAGATAAAGTCTAGAGTAGAGGTAAGTAATGTGAACATGGAGGAGAATATGAGTGATTGATCAACGCTTTTAAGCTTCAAACAATTGTAGTTTACATAATCCCAGTAAGGAAACCGTGGTGCTTTTCCACTGAGTGGTGTGTTTGTGTCTCTTTCCTGTGGACATGTCCCACAGTGTCTGCCGTAACGTTCACAGACTGTGAAATTCATCTCAACCTCACAGTATTGTAGTTGCTCCATAAAGTCTGATATCAGTAGAAAGTCTTGCTCCGCTCAACGGACGCTTCTCCATTTAGAGGCGGACATTTTAAATAAAAAAATAATACAAAATCACACGTCCTTTTTGCAGGGTATTTCTCCACAGCTTGTGGTTGGCTGGAGTTCAAACAACTGCAGCGTTTTGCGTCAGCTCTGGCTCTTCAGGGGTCAGATGTTGACGTACAGCAGGGTGGAAACTACCCGGGCTTAATGGACGAGTGCTGTGCTTCTTTTCTGTAGATGAGCTGGTTTGACAGGTAGGGGAGGTTTGTTGCAGGAAGACGGTTTGCTGGAGGGTTCTTCTGCGAATGCCTTCCTCAGCTGAGCCACGCGGCCTCCATTTTCTGACGTCTCTGTGCGACACAAAGTTTCTAAAAAAAGAAAGCAGAAGGAGTTCCAGGAATTATTGCTAAGTTGATTTGAATTAGGGGAAATTTCAGCGACAGCAGATCAGAATCTAACCAGACTAGTCATAAGCAGGTAGAAATCCAATAAGCACTTGTTTATACATCTTTAATTTCTTTTAAAAATTTTTACATTACAGCCACAAACTTTAATACTTTTTAAATTAGATTTCATGTGATGGACCTACACCTACTTTGAGCTCAAGCTCCATAAGAGCATCAATAACAACCACGCTGAGAATAGAAGAAATTGTGTGTTAAAAATTCAGAGTAAACTTATTTTACTACAGATTAAAATTACTGGTGTTAATGTACTCACTAGAGTTGTAAATACTCATACTTATACACCAAGAATCAATTGCAACACTGAGCCAGGTTACATAAGGTCCTGCCCAGTACAGTTAATTTTACTCTAGTCAGAGTCGAAATTAGGTATAAAGTAAAATAAGAATTACTCTGACAACTTACTTCGTTTAACACTTGTGAAGAAAAATCAACACTAACGGGAGTAAAATTAACTCACAAATTCTGACACTGAGATCAGTGTAAGTTTTATACGGCACAGGGCAGGAGCATATGTAACCTGGCTCAGTGTTGCAGTTGACTTTTGGTGTATAAGTATGAGTACTTACAACTCTGCTGAGTGTAAATCTGCTCAAGTTTTGGAGTTAATAGTTAGTGTGAACTTTGACAGCCTTGCAGTATAACTTTTACTCTATAAAGTGTCGATTACCCATTAGTCACTCAGAGATCTTATTGATTTTGACACAAAAAATAGTCAAATTAACTCTGAAAAGTTAACTTTGGTCATAGAGTAAATTTTACTCTAATTTGGAGTGGGACCAAATGTTATGTTTAACACTGTAGGTTTTAAAGTAGCACTTTGTTTTTTACTGTGAGGTTTTTCATTGTTGAAATAAGTTTACTTTCTTTTTATGTCAACAGCAAATAACACTGCAGGCATTCTGTTGGCAGATTGTTGTTTTCACCTGCTCAAATTAAGGGACAGAAAAAAACTTATTTTAAGACATTGTTACTTATCCTTAGATATTTTTTGTAATTTTGGTCCAGACTTTTACTAGGCCGTTTATAGATTAATTTGCTTTGACATAATCCATTCTACTGTAGTCCTGGCTATATTTTTTGAGCTGTTGGAGTGCTGGAAAGTGAACTTTCTCCTCAATCTTAAGGTTTTTACAGCCTCTAGCACAGGGGTATCAAACTCCCGTCCATGATGGCTGCTGTCCTGCAGCTTTCTGGCATGTCCCTGAACCTAAACACCTGAATCAATAACCTCCTAGGCATGCAGTGGGGTTCTACAGAGCCTTGTTAATGAGCTGATTCTTTGGGCTGGATGTGGGGAGACTAATGGGTTTTCTTGTGTTTAGATCCATCCATCTTGCCCACAGCTTGATGCTGCCACCTTAATGTATCTACAAGGGCCAGAACTGTGGAGCCAAAAGCAGCGGATCTTTCCCGGTCCGCTAGAGTTTTCAAATGTTTGTGTCAGGAAATCTATCTATCATTTATCTTTAAAGGGCATATATCGTTTTTGAGCGCTTAACTACATTATAATGCCTTTATTTATCAAAATCATGGACAAAGAATGAGTAGTCATGAGTAATCCTCAAGAATTCTTCCTCCTGAGCAGCAGCCCCTAGAAAGGTCCTGGAAAACCAAGCAGCTGATACACATAGAGGGGCACGCAGCACGCAGCATCCAGGAAGCAACGCACCCATTTTCTCCAATCAGCAATCAGTTATGAAAAGAGCACAATCATTTAAGAAAAAGTGGTATTTTTAGCAGCTAATCTACTCCTTAACAGAAATTTTACCCTTTAAGCTAACGTCTAACTGACGAAGGTGTGTCTTCGCCAGCCAGATGTTACGAAATGGGTGGAATGCCTAGAAGTGGTATCGCAGTGAAGGCAAGTGTCTTTCTGCAGGGTTGGAAGAAAACAACTTTACTTTGATAACAAATGGATACTAGTGCCAAAATAATATTTGATCATATACTTCCCTATAATTGACCCTTTAAATATAAAACGAAGAGCTATTTGGCTGATCCAGCTCATAAAATCATTGAAGTTTATGGCTGTAAAGTAACAAAATCAAAATTTCAAGTGGTATATAGACTTTATTGAGGTATCCTCATTTCATCCCACAGACTGGAATCCTTTGATTCTCTCACCTTTGTCCTGTTGGGGGTCTTTCTCTGGGTCTGCCTGCCTGCTTTTTATCTGCAGCTTGCTTTCTCTCTGAAAATGAGGCCTGTAGGCGAGATTGAGCTCGCTAACGTTCTCCGAGCTGCCGCCTGATTCACTGCAACTGTCTTCAGCTGAGTCCTTTGGGTCCTCATCAGTGCTGCAGTCCTCCTCAGATGACTGGTTGTTCGGGGAACTTGGATCCTCCTGCGTGTGATTTAAGATATGCTGATCAGAATCCAACGCGCTGGCCATATTGTATTCTAAAATCCAGATACAAACGCACACTGGGACTCACATTAACATCTGTTGGAGGGAGCCTGGCTTCGCCTTTGATGCTGTGCTGCTGGGCATCACTTCCTGGCAGCAGGTCCACCGTCTGGTTGCACTTCGTACCATCAGTTAGTCTGCAAGAGAGCGATATCAACTGTTGTTTTCACTGTTTAGGTGTTACTGAGGACAGTACTTGCTTATACTGTTATTTCATATTTTCCGTTAGAATTTGTTATACATTATTCAGTTTCTACCTGTTGTTCATGTGGTTCTGTAGGACTTTGGAGGACCTAAATTCGTCCATCTCCCCGATCACAACCACGCTCACTTCGCCATCCCGACTGAGGAGCCAGCTCACTTGTTTACTGGAAGCTAGAAGCAAAATAGAAAAACAAGAACATAAAGTGTATTTATTTCTAATAAAAGATATTCAGCAGGGGTCTGACTGAAGCAGGCCTTTCAATAACCAGTTTTTGTCAGTAGGGGGCGCTGTTGTACAAGGATAGATACTGTGAGAGACATGAGCCCCAGATTTCTCTCCCCTAAACACCTTAAACATGTTAATCTGTATTATTGCTGCAGGATGCTTTCTGTCAATATCTAACCTGACAAACAACAAATAAAAAAACAATGGTGAAAAAAACAAAACAAAAAAAGCAACATATCTAGATAAGGAGAATTTTGATAACAAAAAGTAATACAAAAAAAAAAATCAATGCACCGCAGGTTTTGGTTATCGAACATAAATACATATATGTGGTTATTTCTTGAAATAAGAGTATCTTCAGTCGTTTTACCAATGGAATAAAATGAGTTACATTTAAAATTCAAGATTTCACATATTTCCAGTGCATATTATCTAATTTTCTTATTGTAAGGGCAAAAATGTCATCAGCAGATTATCTTATTTACCTTCTCAAATACAACATAAACTCATTTTCCGCTTATTTTTTTAAAATAATTTTTGGTAGTGCAGTCTTATAATCGCTTTCTTGGATTTTGGTCAGAACTTTAACTAGGCTGTTCTGAAAGATTCATTTGATTTTATATAAACTATTATACTATAGCCCTGGTTGTATATAGTTGGGAGTCCTTGAGAGTGACCTTTCACCCCCATTTTAAAGCTTCTTTCTGAGTTGTAACGAACCAATGTTCAATGATTAAAGATTAAATTCAATTCAGAGAAGATCAATTATGAAGATTTACATTTAAAATAGAAAAAAACAACTTCATAATTTTCGTCATTTTATTTCAACTGCATACACTGGAAAAAATGTAAATCTAAATAAGTCATATTTTCTGAAAATAGGTGCATTTTTTCTTGAATTGAGGAGATAAGTTAGACTCTTTGCCGATGGAGCAAAACAATTTACATTTAAAATAAGAAAAAACTATTGCATTGTCTTATTTCAAGTACATAATATCTAATTATCTTATTTTAAGAGTAATTCCATTCCATTCCTTCTCAAATTAAGGATAAATACACTTAATTTAAGACATTTTCATTTATTTCTAGATCTTTTTGCAGTGTAACATCTGGTTATTCTATTTTAAGGGCAAAAATACTAATGTCATTGGCAGAGTGTCTAAGTTACCAACTCAAATTAAGGGCAAATCCACCTACTCTGAGACATTTTCACTTATCTTTAGATCAGTTTTTGTAGCGTATGTGAAAAGAAAATGTTTACACTTGAAAAACATTCTAGAAATAAGTAATAAATATCTTAAATTAAGTGTATTTACCATTTATTTGAGTAGGTAAATAAGATAATCAATGCAATTGTGTTTTCTTATTTTAAGTGTAAATTTACTTGTTCCATTGGCAAAATGTCTTTTTTACCTCCTTAATACAAGAACAGCTGCACTTATTTCTAAGAAAAAATTACTTATCTAGATTTCGATTTTTTCCAGTGTAGAATTATATCTTATCATGACAGTGGTTAAACATAAGCTGCTCATGACAATGAGAGACAGCTGAGGTGTTTTCCACAACTCTAAACATTAAATACCTTCCGTGATGTCACAGATAAAGATGCACTGCTCCACTTTCTGCCAACTGCTAACCAGGTTAAAAGGTCTAAATCATCATCAGTGACGTGTCAGTGATAATCACATGAGCTCAATGTTTTTTAAGGAAACTGGGAAACAAAGAAGGCTGTGTTTCTCTCAAGCAGCAAGAATCACCACACACAGGGGGGTCATTGTGGAAACATCTTGGTGTGATGTCACTATAGGCCGTCTCAAACATAAATCTGTCTGCATGCAAACTTTTATGATCAGCTGCAGTCACTGAGTTATACGAGTAAGATAAGAAGACAGAGAGGCTGTTTCTGTTATATAGCAGGGATGTGCTGTTCTTAAAGCTTTCAGCAGCACAAATCAAACAATAGATCTTTGTAAAAAGCTTTCTGGTAAAGTTCAATTAAAAAACAGGAGAAATTTTAAATAATCCTGTTTCTTAATATATCTGGATAAGGAAGACAGAAGTCTTTTTTTTCAAAGAAAACCTCCAAGTCAGCTGAAAACCTTCCAAAATGTGAAAGGTAGCTGCAGAAATGAAACGGCTTTAAATATCAGCCACTTTTGACATTATGTATCTTTGAAAGCATTTTAATTCATCTAAAGAACTTAGCAAAAGGAAAAGTTCAGTTTTAGATTAGTAGAAGTAAATATCCGGATTCAATCTGACATCAATCTTATTTATGGTTTTTTTTCTTTGCCAAAATATGAATTTTAAAAAGTTGCCCTAAGATTTAAAAGCCAGTGTATTTAGCGACAGGATGAGGCTTAACTGTGCTTGAGTGTGACGCCTATACGATCACGTGAACCCATGAAGCCACTCATAAAGATGTCCTACTGGGTATCTTCTGTAATGCTAACACCCAGACGGCTCCCACTCGGCCTCCTCTCAGGTGACATGGCAGAGATTGGGTAAACAAAGATAGTAACTTGATATTCGGTTTAAAGAGTGGCGACTCCCCAAACCACAGGGTTTACTCAATCTTCTTCAGCCTTCAGCCTATGCAGTAATTTAACAGGCTGAGACAGAGGCTTTCTGTTACAAAACACTGTAAACTCACACTCCTATTGTGCGGCTAAACTAGTTAAGATGAGGGCGTCTTTGTAAAACAGATTAGCACTTTTAATGAAAGAGGGCTGGGTTTGATGAGTAACTAAAAACAAACTCTTACATGATTGGTAACCTTAGAAACAACTCCTGCTTCATTATTTATGTACGCTTAGAGTGTAGAAGATTACAGAATTAAATATTAGTAATACATTATTCAAGTATCTAAAAAGTTAAGAAAAACAAACCACTGGACTTTGTTTTCCAAGTTTGAAGACATTTCCATTCCCATCCAGGAGGGTTTTTCAATGCAAAATGTCCACCCCCCCTATTGAAGGGGTGGACTCAGGTTCCAGCTCTCAAAAACCTACAACATAGCGATAGAGTTGATTCCTTCCCGCTATCATAATCCTCATCGCCATGCAGGGGACCAAGACATCTCACCTAGTCAACCAGGCAAACAATGACACTAACTACTCCCCATTTCAGATGCATAGACCAGTATTGGGTATTGCAGGCTAACAAAGACCTCAAAGACTCCCCATTTCTCCCCGTTCTTCCGGTTCAATTTGCATATTTTCAAAGCCAGGGGTCTTCAACGTTTTCCAGGCCAAGGACCCCCAAACTGATGGTGAGATGGAGCGGGGACCCCTAATTATATATATTGTCTGAAATTGTGTTATATCAAACTGGTCCTATGGTCCCTCTATTACAGATGGAGTAATGTAATGAAAGTAATTTCTCCCTGGGATTATTAAAGTATTTCTAATTGTGGTTCCTGGTTGATGGGGCAGGTGTTGTGAATGAAACGGTGCCCAGCTTGAAAGAGTTCCTGTGTGTCGCTGAATGTGTGCATTGAAGACTGAAAGACATCTTCTGCCTCCATTTATCTGTTTACTACATTGTTTTGAATTCATGTTAATGTGGATTTAAACACATTTCAATTTGTGGAAAAAAATGCAGGGGGAAATATAAAAGAAAGTCTAATCAACCAAAACTTTTTTGACCCTCTTGCAATACCTCTGTGGCCCCTCTAGGGGTCCCCTGTTGAAGACCTCTGTTCTAAGCCATAACAAGGCTTTGTTGGGCTACTCTTTAAAGCTTGGAAATCAACGCTTATCCAGACATTTTGAATTGAAAAAGCTTCCTGGATGGGAAGCGAAAATTCTTCAAACTTGGAAAATAAAGTTCAGTGTTTTTTTTTATCTTTATGAATGTGTATAACCTGGATGTTTGAGAATCTTCAGCTGAGCAGCATATTATTCAAGTATCCTCTTCAGAACAAACTGTCCATTAGTAAAAACTAGTACCGGTATACTTGAAGTATACTAAATTGGGACATTTTTAAGTTTTTAAGTAAACACTTTGTATACTTCTCAGTGTAAGTCAAGTACACTTGACTATATTATTGTTAAGTATATGAAGCACTGCCTGATATTAAGTATGAAATTAGTGCACTTTTAGTATACTTGAATAAACTACTTTTTGCTAAGGGGTTTGTTGCTACTAACTTCAATAAAAAAAGTATATACCTATTAAAAACAAACAATTGGATACAATAATGTTTGTGAAAGAAACAGCACTGATGTAAAATGCGTGAATTTTTAATGAACTCTCAGTTTATTGCCACCTTTCTGCTAGCTGTAGCGAGAGCTAGCAGCATGCTAACTTAGCTTAACCTAGTCTTGGAAAAAGCAGTTGGAAAAGTATTGTTATTCTGACCAAACTGAGAAATAAACCTTGTACTCTCGTCAAGCTACAACTGTATATAGGTTAAATAATCTGTTTTAAAGGTAAATAAACAAACTATATTAAAATTATAAAATCTTAAGCTAGCTGTCTGTCAAGTTTTATTTAGCGCCCATTTAGTATTTAAACATTTAGCATGATAAAGTGAGGATCATTTTGCCAAAATAACTCTTGAATAAGTCTTGAATATGTTTCTTCTGTTTTTCGCCTGATTTTTTTAATGTCAAAAATATAGGAGACAGGCATGAATGAGGTGATCATATCAAAACAGACAAACATATGTCAATATCCACAATTAAATTTTTCCTTTTATAGTTTTGCACTTTTAATATGTATGATGTCATTATGAAAAGGTTGACAAAAGCAAAGATCTACAATAAACACCTTGGTCTAGTTTTATTTTTAGTTTACAGGTAAAGTCTGTTGCATATCATGCTATCTATAGATGTAGCATAAGGTAGGGTTTGTTCATTTTTTTGTAAGATGACTAAACAAACAGTTAAATTTTTGTTTGTTAATAATAAGGAAAAATGTTTCAGCCAGCTGACTAGCAGTGTACTGCTAAAGCTGGGGGAGGTATAGCATCAAACTAATCTGCTCTCCAAACAACTGATCCTGTGTTCTTTCTGAAATATTCATTGGAAAAAATATGAATCGAGATAAGTCATTTTTTCTTAAAAAAGTGCATTTGTTCTTGAATTGAGGAGACATTTTGCCAATGGAACAAGACGATTTAGATTTAAAACAAGAAAACACAATTGCATTTTCTTATTTCAAGTGCATTTTATCTAAATATCTTATTTTAAGGGTAAATACACTTGGTTTAAGAAATTTTTACTTATTTCTATATCGTTTTTCCAGTGTTCTTCCTGCTTTTATATCTAAGTAAAAACACCTTAAGTCACGGGACAGAAAAAATAGAATTTTACATTGAACCTTTCTGAAAATTTCGTAGATTTTCATAAGAATAAGTGGCCCATGTTCAGTCAGATAAAAAAAAACTAAATACTGATTTCAGTAATTGTATTATCTGTCTTAACATGGTTTCGTTAAACCTTCTTTCTGGGACATGAAATGATTGCTCCTGTTTTTATCTTGAACATTTGAAAGAATGTTATCTTTTCTTCAGTTTATCAATATGCATTAACCTGCCAAACCAGATTGATAAATTCGTATCTGCAATCAAATCAGCTGATTGGCCAATTGGTGGACCCACCTACCAAAGTTAGGTTTTTAGCCAATCATGGTAAAGAATCAAATAGCGGCAGACAGCATTAAAAACCACAACAACATAAGCATTTACAGGTGCTGGTCATAAAATTAGAATATCATGAAAAAGTAGATTGATTTCAGTAATTCCATTTAAAAAGTGAAACTTGTATATTATATTCATACATTACATACAAACTCATATATTTCAGATGTTTATTTTGTTTAATTTTGATGATTACAAATGACAACAAATGAAAATCTCAAATTCATCATATCAGAAAATTACAATATTACTGAAGACCAATAAAAACAAAGGATTTATAGAAATGTTGGCCAACTGAAAAGTATGAACATGAAAAGTATGAGCATGTACAGCACTCAGTATTTAGTTGGGCCTCCTTTGGCCTGTATTACTGCAGCAATGCGGCGTGGCATGGAGTCGATCAGTCTGTGGCACTGCTCAGGTGTTATGATAGCCCAGGTTGCTCTAATAGTGGCTTTTAGCTCTTCTGAATTGTTGGGTCTGGTGTATTGCATCTTCTTCTTCACAATACCCCATAGATTTTCTATGGGGTTAAGGTCAGGAGAGTTTGCTGGCCAATTAAGAACAGGGATACCATGGTCCTTCAACCAGGTACTGGTAGCTTTGGCACTGTGTGCAGGTGCCAAGTCCTGTTGGAAAATGAAATCTGCATCTCCAAAAAGTTGGTCAGCTGCAGGAAGCATGAAGTGCTCTAAAACTTCCTGGTATGTGGCTGCGTTGACCCTGGACCTCAGAAAACACAATGGACCAACACCAGCAGATGACATGGCACCCCAAACCATCACTGACTGTGGAAACTTTACACTGGACTTCAAGCAACGTGGATGAAGTGCCTCTCTTCTTTTCCTCCAGACTCTGGGACCTTGATTTCCAAAGGAAATGCAAAATTTACTTTCATCAGAGAACATGACTTTGGACCACTCACCAGCAGTCCAGTCCTGTTTCTCTTTAGCCCAGGCAAGACGCTTCTGACGCTGTCTGTGGTTCAAGAGTGGCTTGACACAAGGAATGCGACAGCAGAAACCCATGTCTTTCATACGTCTGTGTGTGGTGGTTCTTGAAGCACTCACTCCAGCTGCAGTCCACTCTTTGTGAATCTCCCCCACATTTTTGAAGGGGTTTTGTTTCACAATCCTCTCCAGGGTGCGGTTATCTCTCTTGCTTGTACACTTTTTTCGACCACATCTTTTCCTTCCCTTCGCCTCTCTATTAATGTGCTTGGACACTGAGCTCTGTGAACAGCCAGCCTCTTTAGCGATGACCTTTTGTGTCTTGCCCTCCTTGTGCAAGGTGTCGATGGTCGTCTTTTGGACAACTGTCAAGTCAGCAGTCTTCCCCATGATTGTGTAGCCTATAGAACTAGACTGAAAGACCATTTAAAGGCTTTTGCAGGTGGTTTGAGTTAATTAGCTGATTAGAGTGTGGCACCAGGGGCCATCAATTTTGAACCTTTTCACAATATTCTAATTTTCTGATATGATGAATTTGAGATTTTCATTTGTTGTCATTTGTAATCATCAAAATTAAACAAAATAAACATCTGAAATATATGAGTTTGTATGTAATGTATGAATATAATATACACGTTTCACTTTTTAAATGGAATTACTGAAATCAATCTACTTTTTCATGATATTCTAATTTTATGACCAGCACCTGTAAGTTCTTCTTTCACAGACAAAATCATGGATTCTGACAGCTACACATATGTCCTCCTCTGCTGCTGGGTATTTGGGTTCAGCTGTGGACTCTCTTGCTTTCATCACAGCTTTAAACCATATTATGGCAACATGCCTGGGGAGCAGTTTTGTTTTGGTCTCCAACAGTTTCAGCTGGAGCTGGACAAGATCGATTCCTGTGTGTTGTTTGAATGCACAAATGCCACGAGAATACAACTTGCAGGCAAGGTTACGTTAGAATGGCTTTATAAAAATGATTTTACTTGGAGCAGAAACTCTTATTCTAGGTGCTGTTTTTGATGGACTGTATATTGTTTAAGGTTTAACAGAAATTATTACTTTGATCAATTTAAATCTGTGTAAGTTTGGTATGAGTGCATCAAAATATGCTCAGGGAAGAGCTTCTATGCAATTATATGTGAATATAGGAGTATTATCTGGTGCCTCGATCAGATAAGCAACCATATTCATCCAACTTTTTAAAAATGCTGCTCCTCCTGTTCATAAACCCTTTTGTTCCATTCCACTGTTCCACTGTAATTTACTGGAATGAATGATGTATACTCCTTCTGCCAGTTTAACCGGTATGATGAATGGCGTGAAGAGCTCTACCTTTCTTAGGCCTTGTGTTCCTGTTACTCCTTCCTTCTCTCTCTTCCTTCTCCTCTCGTGCTTTCCAGCGACGTACTTGCTCTTCTCTCATCTTCAGAAAGAGAATTCGTTTTTGCTCCTCGCTGAGGGCCTCCAGCACTTCGGGGTTCACCCACATCTGTTCAAGGATTTGAGCCAGCATCTTGTCTCTCTCTCTCTACGCTTGGGGCCTGTTGTAGCAGTGTTTCCAGCAGAGTCGGTTCCTTTTTTCCCCTGAAGGGATCAGGTGCTCTCTCGAAAGCAGAGGGAGGTCAATATGGTCTCTCCGGTGAATTGTTTTAACTGCACTTGAGGTGGGAAGTCCGCAGGATCCGGATTGGTGTTGTTGCTGCTGTGGACGTTGGAGAGACAGAGATATTAGACCCACTGTATTGTTTAGTCCCTCTCCATTCAATTGTGTTTTGGCTGGCCCACAATAGGCCCAGAACAAATAATACACCACTGCCAAGTGCAATGTGTGTGAATTGGGGTGCTGCATGCAGAGGGAATGCTGCTGGGTTTCTAAACACTGAAAGACAAACAGGGGCAGGTTCAGTATGTCAACACTCACACAGGGCGGGGTGCTAATGACTCCACACTATCTGTGACTAACAGACACTGAGACAAGAAGCCTGCTTTAATAATTTATTTCTACAGACAGGCTTGTTTTTTTGCACCTTATCGGCAGCACTGACCCCAGCTTTCATTTGAATGAGCCAGTCAGGAAGCTCAGACGCGAAAAAAAACAACCCAGGAATTACCAACGACCTCGCTCTGTGTGCAGAGAGATAGTCTCCGCCTTGCACGCACTTTTGAAAATATACTGACCAGTGTGCTGCTAGGTGAGAGCCAACAGCGTTTGAGTGTGGAGTAACTATTAACCCGTCTCCACCTGGGGGGGTCTGGTTTTACAGTGAACCATTTGAAGATTTAAAAACAACAGCTTTTTTTTTTTTTTTTAAACACACACATGTGATTTTCCACAACTTTCATCCCAAAGAGTTGTTAAAACAGACAAACGGTTTAGTTTTAAATGCAGTTTAACAATCAGTTGCAAGTTCATATCCTCATTTTGGACGCATACATTCCCATTCAAGCCTTTCTGCATCCATTTTATACCCATATAAAAACAGTTTTATATCCATGCACTAAAACAATTACACATCAGATAGATATATTTTTTTGGTCTTCCATGCTGATAAGAAGCCATAAAATAGTTCCAGTCAGACATTGAATCTATTTTACCGTCAATAATTTTCAGTAAACTTTATAATACACCCTATTTTCTTAATTGTGGTTCTGAAACGATTTTGGGCTTGTTAACCTTTATAAAGCAAACGATTTACAACTTTTGATTCAACCAAAATGACTCTAAGTGACTTCCTGTGGGTAAAAACGACTTACTGGAGCCATATAAGCACATTTTATTACACCAGACTGGGAGGCGATTAGAGAAAAAGCCTTAGAATCACTGGTTATCAAAGCAGATTTACAACAACAGTATGGTGGTTATGGAAATGTTCATGGTTGATGTGAAACTTTCTGCTGCCGAAGGCCATTTTGGACCAGAAAATGTTGGATAAGGAAAAAAAAAAAAACTTAAGATACTAAACTTCCCCTGTTGTATGTTTATATGGATAAAAAGGCTCATACATTTTCCCTAAACTTCAAAAAAGGAAGGAAAACATTGGCTGTTTGAAAGCATCAGGCTCTTGTTAAGTAAACCTTTTAAATAGTCTGACTGCTCAACAGGCTAAAGATGCTCTATGTTTTAAATGGAAGTCAATTTTCCTGAGTTAGGAGGGAGAAACACAGCAGGAACTTCTTGTAAAGCTGGTCCTCCAACAGAAGTTCAGTATCCAATATGGCTGCTTTACAAATAATGGTAAAAGCATGAGGAACATGTTGCTTATCAATCACTTTTCTCTTTCTACCAACTTATATCAGTTATATAAGTTATATAATTCCCTCTAATAGTGGTTCCCAAAGTGTGGAGTAATTTTTACATGGGGGGGGGGCCTGGTAGAAATGAATTTTGAAATGTAACTTCAGGGCTGCAACTAACGATTATTTTGCAAATTGATTAATAATCAGCCAAAGGTTGCCTAAAGAAGACTTTTAATGAAATTAAACCAGGTGAACTATGGAGTTCTGGATAGATCATATTGACAAAAATGTTTTTATCTTAAACGCAAAATGTTTAGAGGTTTTTTTCTTCTAAAAATTGTCCTTTGGTGTGAGTGTGCACGGTTGTACGTCTTTGTGTGTCTCTGCGTTGCCCTGCGACAGACAGGCGGCCTGTCCAGGGTGTATCCCACCTCTCGCCGGTGGGGCCGCTAATAGGCACAGGCCCCACAGTGACCCTGACAAGGACGAAGCGGGAGAAAATGGATGATGGATGGTATAATTACTGCTCTGAGTGGGTCGCTCTATAACCTAAAGGAATGCTTTAGCGTCTCTATACTCCAGTTAATGATTAATCGATTACTAAATTAGTTGACGATTATTTCAATAATCGATTAATCTCATTTATTGATACAGACCTATGTATTTTTTTTTTTTATATATCAATATAAATGTTGGCTGAACTATACTGAAATAAAAAGTTAAACTTATAATAAAGAGACTTTAAAGGTGTTAGCTTTGTGATTTAGAGAAGGTTTTCATCTTTTTGCGGTATTTCTTTCACTGCAGAAAAATAACTATTGAAGAAGTTTGGCTAGAAGTGGAATTAAGGAGTCGTGCAAACTTTCTGGTGAGCCAACAGGGGGCTCTACAAGAAAATGGGTTAATATGTTGGTGCAAAGAACTAAGGAGAAGCAGAGCGATCACACCCCCTTTCAAACATAAGAATTACATTTATAATCATTCCAAAAACAATGAAATTAAAACAATCCACTCTGTTTCCAAGTTTAAAGACATTTTGTTTCCTATCCAGGAAGCTTTTTCAATTAAAAATGTCAGGTATAATGTTGAGTTTGAGGTTTTATAGAGTAGCCCAACAAAGTTTAAAGACGAAATGTCTTCAAACTTGGAAAGTCTGGTGGATTGTTTTAATGTTATTTTTTTGGAATGACTGTGACCTGGATGACAGAGAATCTTCACAAGCATACACTTATAATCTAATTGTATGTATCAATAATATTTGTGTCTGTTAAATTTTTCCTGTATTTTATTAGATAAAGTTATTCATTCATTTATTCATTCATTCAATCATTCATTCATGCATTCATTCAATGTTTCAAAGGTGGAAAATAGAGAGAAAAGGCTGATTCACACTTCGAAACCAGGTCGTCTACATGCGTGTCGCAGTGAATGCAGATATGCCCCGCCCCTTCCTCAGACACTCTGCTGCACCTCTTCAAAATTGTAGGTGACCGCAGACAGTGCCACAGACAGGAGGCCTCTGATTGGTCAAATCTACATCCTCTCTACACTATGCATATTTCCTGTTTGCTATACCTTATTGGCTTGTTTGGTTTGCATTGTGGAAATGGACTCATGAAGATGGACCAGCTAGAAGAGCGAGGTGCGCGAGAACGCTGGGACCTTTTTCCACCTGGATCCCCGCTCTTTTTCGCCCTCATGTCCCTCCATTGTCCCACAAATTTGCCCCCACTTCCTCACAGCCTCGGCCGTATCTAGACCCACAGCTAGTTCTTGATTGTCCCTCTTGAGTTGTGGCGTGGAATAACATAGCGCAGACCACACTTCAATATTGAGCATAAATCAAAAATATCTGCGACAAGCTCACTGCGACAGACTGCTGCAGAAGGATAACCAGCCCTTAAGGTCTCCATGCATGGGTTGTGCATGGGTTATGCACGCTAACCACTGCGCAACCAAAGCACACCCAACACATAATGTTTTATTTAGTTTCTTAATGTTTCCCTGGTTCAAATTGCGAGCCATTAAACGTATAACATTTGCAATCATTGGGAGCAATCGGCCCAAAAAGAAAAAAAAAATCAGTAGTAGGTCGATTTCAGGGAACTGTCGAAAAAATAATCGCCATTGGAATAGACCTTAAAAAAGCAGCATCCGTTAATTTGTAATGATCACTATCTTATTTTACTAGCAGGAATAATTGCTGTTTTTATTAAAGCAATTGGACGATTTTATACTATTTTGTAAATGTAAAATAGAGTGAAATCATAAAAGCATTTTATTTTTCCAGCTGTCATTATGTTGCAAGACTCTAGCGACATTTCATGCCTAATCTCTATAAGCACTAAAACACTCTGAGTCTCTGCATCTATGGCCAAAAGAAATACAGACAGCCTGGTTTAAAGAAAAAAAACATCACATGAATTCAACAGAAACATACAGACAGGTTGGGTGCATTGATTCACAGTCACACTGCGTCAAATCAAAAATTCATCTAAGACGTCCACCTGTGGCTTGGTGCCTAATGCTATTCAGTGCTCCTGCCTCTCCCATGGTGGGAGGAGAGAGAACGTACAGGAGCCGAGGGGAGCGCGCTATGTGCGCCGCATACTGAACGGAAAAGTTTGAAAAGTCCCTCAGTCTGAGCAAACAGAGGCTATTTCACAGCGAGAGATAAATGAGCTCAGGCGGCCCGTGGAACAGCAATCAGACAACAAAGCTGAGACAGAGAGAAGGACAGAGAGGAGGACAGAGGACATAGAGGAGGAAAGGGAGGAGGACAGAGGACAGAGAGGAGGAAAGAGAGGAGGACAGAGGACATAGAGGAGGAAAGAGAGGAGGACAGAGGACATAGAGGAGGAAAGAGAGGAGGACAGAGGACAGAGAGGAGGAAAGAGAGGAGGACAGAGGACATAGAGGAGGACAGAGAGCAGGACAGAGAGGAAGACAGAGAGGAGGACAGAGGACATAGAGGAGGAAAGAGAGGAGGACAGAGGACAAAGAGGAGGACAGAGAGGAGGACATAGAGGAGGAAAGAGAGGAGGACAGAGGACAGAGAGGAGGACAGAGAGGAGGACAGAGGACATAGAGGAGGAAAGAGAGGAGGACAGAGGACAGAGAGGAGGAAAGAGAGGAGGACAGAGGACATAGAGGAGGACAGAGAGCAGGACAGAGAGGAAGACAGAGAGGAGGACAGAGGACATAGAGGAGGAAAGAGAGGAGGACAGAGAGGATGACAGAGAGGAGGACAGAGGACAGAGAGGAGGAAAGAGAGGAGGACAGAGGACAGAGAGGAGGAAAGAGAGGAGGAAAGAGAGGAGGACAGAGAGGAAGACAGAGAGGAGGACAGAGGACATAGAGGAGGAAAGAGAGGAGGACAGAGGACAAAGAGGAGGACAGAGAGGAGGACATAGAGGAGGAAAGAGAGGAGGACAGAGGACAGAGAGGAGGACAGAGAGGAGGACAGAGGACATAGAGGAGGAAAGAGAGGAGGACAGAGGACAGAGAGGAGGAAAGAGAGGAGGACAGAGGACATAGAGGAGGACAGAGAGCAGGACAGAGAGGAAGACAGAGAGGAGGACAGAGGACATAGAGGAGGAAAGAGAGGAGGACAGAGGACAGAGAGGATGACAGAGAGGAGGACAGAGGACAGAGAGGAGGAAAGAGAGGAGGACAGAGGACAGAGAGGAGGAAAGAGAGGAGGAAAGAGAGGAGGACAGAGAGGAAGACAGAGAGGAGGACAGAGGACATAGAGGAGGAAAGAGAGGAGGACAGAGGACAGAGAGGAGGACATAGAGGAGGACAGAGAGGAAGACAGAGAGGAGGACAGAGGACATAGAGGAGGAAAGAGAGGAGGACAGAGGACATAGAGGAGGAAAGAGAGGAGGACAGAGGACATAGAGGAGGACAGAGAGCAGGACAGAGAGGAGGAAAGAGAGGAGGAAAGAGAGGAGGACAGAGAGGAAGACAGAGAGGAGGACAGAGGACATAGAGGAGGAAAGAGAGGAGGACAGAGGACATAGAGGAGGACAGAGAGCAGGACAGAGAGGAAGACAGAGAGGAGGACAGAGGACATAGAGGAGGAAAGAGAGGAGGACAGAGGACAGAGAGGAGGACATAGAGGAGGACAGAGGACATAGAGGAGGAAAGAGAGGAGGACAGAGGACATAGAGGAGGAAAGAGAGGAGGACAGAGGACATAGAGGAGGACAGAGGACATAGAGGAGGACAGAGAGCAGGACAGAGAGGAGGACAGAGGACAGAGAGGAAGACAGAGGACAGAGAGGAGGACTCACTCAGTGTCTGCCAGCCGGCATCTCCCTAAGTCCTGGTTGCTTGGATTGATGAGTGTGTGTGACGTGAAAGAGCACGCCTCTGTGTCTGAGTGTGTGTTTCTGAAACGCTGCATTTGTACTCAGCAGGGGTGGGGCGGACTGGCATTCAGTGTTTTCTCTCCTCCTCTTTTCCTTTTCTTATCTCAAGTTACCGTTACAGCAGTGTTACACAGTAATACGTCAATGAAGTCACTATGACACATGACCCGATCTGAAACACCTGTACTGTGATTGCTCCTAATGTCTCCATGCAGGGGCGCTGTATGCGGGGTTAGGAAGATTCTAAGAGCCCTTGACTGAGGGGGGCCCAAAAGCAGAGGGAAATATGTGCCCCACTATATATTTTTCAAATATAAAAAGAAACTCCAGCAGTAAAATAAATTATCTTTGTGTTCTCCCTCATTTTTTAGCAGTAAACGGGCTCCCTCCAGCAGCCTGTGAATATTAGTAAAGTTTAGTTATAATTGAATAGAATATATTAGAATTGAATTGAATATAACCTATTAGAATGAAATAGAATAGAAAATCCCTTTATAGTTCCACAATTGGGTGTTTCAGCAGCAAAAAGATTATAAAAAAAAAATTGTCACACAAATGTGGACCTTAGAAAAAATTATAAGAATAACATAATAGTAAAGAGTTAAAATATAAACAATAAAATACTGCAGTTTAAAGTACTTTAACAATACTATTGTGCACTTGGAAGAATCAACAATCAATATACAGCTATGGATATTTTTACAGCAATGGATATTTGGAAAAAATAGCAGCAACATCAGAGATGTGCAGAATGACAGAAGCATGTTATTAAACTGACTTAGGTAGAAACTGTGCAAAATCAGCCTGAATGTAAAAACTTATTCAGGTTATTGGGAACAGTGGTGGTTATAAAGTATTCCAGCTGCTGGGAGGAAGGATCTGCGATAACGCTCCCTGGTGCATTTAGCGTGCAGCAATCTGTCACTGAAGCAACAGCTTCATGCATGCGGTGGGAGACATTTTCCAACAGAGATGTTCATTTAGTTAGGATCCTTTTGTTTCCCACAAAAGCATTTTTATATTCATATTTAATTACAACCATAAAAGACATCTATAAATCATTCTCATTGGTCTCGTTTCTATCTATAAAAATATGATGTAAATGTTTCTTTGTATTGTCATTAAAACATTTTCTCTGTTTCCTTTAAATATGTCAACATTCTATTTAGCAAATTCATTCAATTTACGTCTGGATTGCTACGGCATTATAAGGCAATTATATAGTTTCTCTCTGTACTTTTTTTTTTATATGAAAACCCTGTGAATTTAAATCTATTTTGACCCCTGAGCAGCGTTAACTAAGGGGCAAATAGTAAAAAAAAAAGTCAAAATTGCCAAAATAGAAAGAAGAATGTTTTTGTTCTTTGTTTTTTTGGAGCAATGAAGATTTTATTGATCTGTGTGTAATGCAGAATTCATAGTAGATCAGGAAGTGTTTGCTATGGGATGGAAACCTTGTATGTCTAAAACCATTCTTTTATTGTACACTTTGTTAGCTTGTCAGTCTGTTATATTAACTAATATGATGTGTTGAACTAGATCTGCTATTTTCATAACTTTTGTGAGACACTTTTCTATAAAGTAGTGCATCGATTCAAAAAGTAGTATAGTAGTATCTAGGCAAGAGATTTCAACCTGGTCAATAATCTGGTTGCTATTTGAAATTTTATAAGTTAATTTTTTTGCAACATAAACCTTTCTAGTTTGATCGGTTTCATTCCTATTTTGTTGTGTTTTCTGGATATATTTGAGTTCTTATGTTTTTCTTTGCTGCCCTCTGTCGCCCTCTTGTGTTGGTCTCCTTTTCCCTAGCTCCCTTCTAGACCCCTCTGTTCACACCTGCTCCCAATCAGCTCATTAGTCCAGTCTTTGTTCCGCTCCCCATATAAACTCTCCCTGTGCTGTTCCTCAGTGCCGTCTCCTCGTCTTTCCCTGTCTTTTCCTGGCTCCTCATGTTGTTTTCGCTGATGTCTCCAAGGTTCTGGTTTTTCTGTATTTTTTATGTAGGATTCCTGTCTCAGTTGCCTTTGAGTACTTAGTTATTTCATTAAATCTACAGAAGCTCACCTCTCCATTTGGGTCCTGAAAACCTCAACCAAACCTTGACAACTATCACGCATCATAATGACTAAAATTTGACTCAGACTAATAATAGTTTTTGTCCTGAATACTAAGATTAAATCTAAGATGGCTGTCAAAAACAACACTACTCATGAGCAGCCTGAAGCAGCTGCATCAAAAATATGTTTTTAATCATATATGTGGATAAAAAGTAAGTTGTCAGGGCCAGCATAAAAATACTCTGTCCTTTATGAAAGTTAAAGCAAAACCTAATAGGACTATATTTTCTACAATCCAAAATCTATTTTCCATTCATGTGCACAGAGATACAGCTGTGTTTTTTTGTTTTTATATAAGCTGCTATTATTTTGCCAGGATTATTTTAATGTAAAATTTAAAGTGAATGTATATTTAACTTTTTCGCATTCTGTTAATTTTCCTTTGTAGAACTCTTTCAATAAAAATTAAATTGAAAATGTCAATGAATTAATATCAAAGCTTTTCATGGGGCCCCACATCCTGGCAGCGCCCCTGTTTTCCACGTGTCATCTCGCTTACAGGAGGGGTTTATCCATCCAGATCTGATGTTTTCTTCTTTTACTTCTTATTATTAAAAATCTAGTCAGATTATTCTGCAGAGCTGTTGCTCCTTGTCCTTGAGGAAATCCTGTGAGGTTTGCATTCAAACCACTGATCACAACAACAGATTGCGCAGGAAGGGAACGTGGCTGTTTATCCTTCAGGATTTTTCCGTCAACAGGTTGTTGACACAGTTCTGGTCGCAGCAGCCATTGTTTAGGGCCCGCTCTCTACCTGCGGTGCCAGATCTGACATTTCAGAGTAGGTGACGTGCGATGATCACATAGCTTATAGTAATGAAGGCTATTAATAACATGACCATGCAGGAAAAGTCAGATAACTAAGATGGTTTCTGCCAATTTGTTGGTATCATGTGACATTGAATGCATTTTACAGGAAAACTGATTTTCTTTGGCTTTAAAAAGGAGCCATAGAAATAACAGTGAACTGATTCATTATTATAGAAAAGACTAAGCTACCCTGGCTGCAATGTCGCAGACATGGCGACTGCTAAAACGTCTGAAATGAAAGTCATGTATTGCAGAACAAGCTTGACATATTGTGATCGTCAGATCTCTGCCTCGATTGAATAACAGGGTTTCTGTGTCCTTCTTTTCTCCGGTGACACATCTGCTCATAAAGGAAGCAGGAAGTCATGGATTACTGCTTGGAAATGCAGAGTTTGACCTTTTCTGCCTTTTCCTGTCAAGATAATCTTCTGTTCTGATTCCTTAATGTGAAAAAGATGCTTTAACTGACCTAAAATATTTTGTTTTGTTTTTTCCAATGCTGATAATGAAAAGGAAAAAAAAAGAAAAAAAATGACTTTTATTTTTTTGACCTCCAGATGATCAGTCAAAGACAATTGAGGGGAAAACTTATTAATTATAGACTCTGGCCGAACAAAAACAATATTATAGATTTAGAAAATGCTGTAGCAACTTTGATTTATAATCAAATAGTAAATAAAATGTGCTTATGTTGCTTATTTTTTTAATGTCAGAGGCCTCCAAAGCGTTTACTCTACACTACGGAGCCACTGCAGCCACAGCTGCCCTGGGGCACGCCAACAGAAGTGAAGCTGCTGCAAACATGCGCCCCCATCATCAGGCCATGTGGGTGAAATGTCTTGCCCAAGGACACAACAACTGAGACTCAGGACCATGACTAATTTATTATTGCCTTGTGTTTTTGCACGTATTATCAATTTTGTATAAATGTAAAAACAAAACACACGTTTCCATGAAAAAATAATAAATTTTTTACATTAAACCAGTTTTAACCGCCAACCATCAGGTCCTGTACGTTAGACATGACGTATGTGGTGCCTCCAAATTTGTAGCCTCACAGTAAGGCTAATGTCCATCATTACACTGGAAAAACGATCTAGAAATAAAGATGATTTAAATTAAGTGCATTTACCATTAATTTGAGTAGGTAAATAAGATAGTTTGCCAATGGTATTAGTATTTTTACTCTTAAAATAATATAATTAAATAATATGCGCTTGAAATTTAAAAAATGCAATTGAGTTTTCTTATTTTAAATGTAAATTGTCTTTTTTATTGGCAAAATGTCTCTTTTGTGTCCTCAATTCAAGAAGAAATGTAGTTATTTTAAGAAAAAAAGAACTTATCTAGATTTCATTTTTTTCTCCATTGTACAAGGGTTTTATATAGCACTCTAGACCAGACATCCCCAAAGTCGGGCCTTGAGGTCTGCTGTCCTGCAGGTTTGAGAGGTTTCCCTGCTTTAGCACATCTGATTATGATGATTGCAGTTGAGTAAAAGCCTGTTAATCAGCTTTCAATTAAAATCAGCTGTGCTGGAGCAAATTTAAACCTCTTAAACCTGCAGGACAGCGGCCCTCGAGGACCGACTTTGGGGATGCCTGGTCTAGACCCTCCCAAAAGTGGAAAAGGCAGCTGATTTAATTTATGATTTGTCAGGTTTTCAAAATCATATTTGGGGATTTTGATGTGACCAGTTAACAGGTTAACCATGTACAGGTGCTGGTCATAAAATTAGAATATCATGAAAAAGTAGATTGATTTCAGTAATTCCATTTAAAAAGTGAAACTTGTATATTATATTCATACATTACATACAAACTCATATATTTCAGATGTTTATTTTGTTTAATTTTGATGATTACAAATGACAACAAATGAAAATCTCAAATTCATCATATCAGAAAATTAGAATATTACTGAAGACCAATAAAAACAAAGGATTTATAGAAATGTTGGCCAACTGAAAAGTATGAACATGAAAAGTATGAGCATGTACAGCACTCAGTATTTAGTTGGGCCTCCTTTGGCCTGTATTACTGCAGCAATGCGGCGTGGCATGGAGTCGATCAGTCTGTGGCACTGCTCAGGTGTTATGATAGCCCAGGTTGCTCTAATAGTGG